GCCACGGAATATTAATGACTGGCAGTGGATAGCAGCGTAGGAAAAACAGGGATGAGAGGGTTAAAGCTGGTTACTGTCTCCCTTGTTAATCTTGTTAGTAATGGTATCGGATTTAATTATTACATCTGGCGCGTACGACCTGTTCCTTTATAAATCTTAATCATGGAATTCTTATCATGTTATACCGCCTCTTCATACTAACCATCGTCAAATCTTCGATGATAATAAATTGCTTTGATTAAAATGCCAGTAATTTATTAACAACACTATAGGAGCAGCTTAATGAACAGAGGTGGGTTTAAACAAACATAATATAATATTCAAAGCATACCTGAGGAGTAGACTTGTCAAACGCAGTTTGTCCAAAACAGTAAAGTTCATGGAATGGCAAAAAAGTAGTGCTCAGAGTCAACTTTGGTTACTTAGATGCATTTTGTCGTTAATAACCAAAAAAAACTGGGGAGAATAGTTACTAGATTTGCAGACAGAAGAAAGCAAAAATAGCTCAATATTGCTATAAGAATTGCTGGTCAAAATTCTATCTGCATGTCTATGTCACATTCTTCTTCTTCTACAGCAACTGTTCCTCCATCCTTCACAGTACTCTGCAAATATGATAACTGACCATCCCAAACCTGGATAAGTGTTCCACTTTTTCCAGATAACGATTTCAGTACAGCTTTCAAACTGTGGGTCTTCCTTTTCTATTTATCCTATGGCCCATTGAAGCTCCGGTAAGTCTACTTGGCCGGATCGTGTGCATGGTTTTAGTAGCGTCACCTCGACCAGCTTGCTCATATTGTAGGTTTGAATTTATTCTTATTGTCGCAAACTATATTAAATTGTTCATGATTAGAATGCCTGAAATAATGATAGGAACTCTCCCTGGTGGTTATATCCAAGTAGCACAAGCATGTTGAAAATGACGTTACAAGCTGGTCATAAAATGACAATAAATCATGAATTGAATGATGTAAGGATAACGTAAAAATGACCTCCTAATGTTACATACCGATGACGTCATATGGCAGGCGAGTATACCGAAACAGCACTGACAGCAGTAGGTTATGACTATACGCGGTTTGGCGGTCTTATGCTCTTATTTCGTATACTGTCGATGGACTTAATCCATTCAACATGTCTTAGTGAGTTTCGCAATACATTTTAAATATGACACATTGCGATCTGGATGTCAAAGATTTTATGAAACAATATTAACTTAACACTTTTAGTGGAGAAATGGAAAATTTGGACAAACTGCGTTTTGCAAGTCTGCTCCTCATGTGTTAACACTAAGGCCCGTATCGTCAGTCGTCCCTACAATTGTAGGGTGCGTTTATGGCCTCCTTGATTGTCATAGTTTTCTACTTCTCCGTGTCAGAGCTCTATTTTGAGGTTATGTCAAAGACATCTATTTGCATAAAATTGTGCTTGCTTTTGAGTTATATCATGTTTCATGAGCCTGAAATTTCCTACAATTTAAAAGGAAAACATATCTTAACAATAGGAGAGCGCTGACGCTGACACGAGACGAGTGTAATCTAGAAATTTTTGAAGAAGAGAAAAGAGTATGACAATCAAGGAGGCCATAAACGCAGCCTACAATTGTAGGGATGACTGACGATACGGGCCTAAGTCTAGGCACAAGACCCACAACAAAGGGCTCGATGTTACAACCACAATGATCGTGAGCGACGTTAACAATGATGGGTCAGGTTCCAGATTCAGGCTATTTTCAATGAGCAGCTACGTGAAGCGTTTCAAATTTGGCCATTTTACGCGTATTTGCACATACGTTTTCTTACACAGCTGTACTTGTTACTATTTTTTCTCAGTTTTCGTCTTTACTGGTAGATCGTTGTCAGTCTCGAAAAAACTCGAGGACCAATACTCCGCATCCGATGGAACAAATTACTCAGACACTCTGCGATTTGCATTATTTTATCTAGGCGAAAATTCTTGGAAGTACTTTTCTACTTCTAACTCAAATTATCGTTTTAACGGCGGTATTATGTTTACCCATATTCCACTCTCAATATTTATTTGATATAAAAAACCGAAATCTGTCAGGCCACCAGAGGCAACGCTCTAATTAACCAATTTGAAAAAGCGACTGTACGACACTGATCACGCGATATGCGTTCAGCTCAACCGTCACTCCCACCGGAATTTACAATTTTAAGTATTCTAGAGCTGCTTACAGCTACCAAACCAATATAAATTCGGTTTTGGCCATGTCAGACCCTCGAAAACGTTTTCATAATCTGAACACATTACGTGGTATAACGACAATTAAAATTTTTGTTACCTTTGCTAGTTTCTAAAGGAGAATTCAATGTTCGTCAGTTTTTTTTATTTCATAAAACGTCCTGAAGAAGAAAACGATCATTATCGAAAGCCTGATATTAACATAGAAAAAGCTCAATTATGGAAATCTTAAACAAAGTCGTATTATCAAAATTGCTTCATTGCTTGCGCATGAGAAGTATGAACACTGTCAATTTATATATTTTATGTAGACGCATTACTCACTGTGCAGAACTTTTCAATAGTTTGACATTTACAAATATTGGATAAAATGCTAGCTATTCTCTACCATGATGTATAACTAGTAACAGAAATCATCAAATAAATGTAAGTACACCTACAAAGGATCACCAAATTATATAAAATATTAAAAATATAAACAACGCATACATTGTAGCTTTGCACTATAAGTTACGTATTTCAGTTAAAAAAAATACGTACACCTATGTATTAACTGTCATGTAAAATCTACGCTCAAGGATATCGTCCTTTTGTGGATGATAGTTTATTCACATTTGGCTGTAATGTTAAGTGAATAAATCAGTTCAATTTATGAGTATGTGCTTGAATGTGGACTGGGGAAACGTTTTCACACATTTGTAAATGCCTTTTAACTGATACTTTTCTAAATTATCTAAATGAAGCTAAATGCAGACTGAGGCAAGGCCACGTAAAGAGAACCACAGCAACAGTAATCTACACGTCAAACATGGGACCTTGCTTTGCTTCACAATGCTTCAGTGCACGGGCTTTGATCCAATTGTGCGTAAAGGAACCCAGTGCAAGAGCTATGCTTCACCTCTGTTCGCTTCCTTTCAATGGGGCTTGATACACTCAACCATATTTGCTTTGAACTACTAGCACCGAAACCAATAAAAAACATTACGCGTGCGGCATATATAAATTCATTATGCAGCCGACGCGTAACGTTGGATTAATACTGGTAAAAAATACCAAGTTAGTTAAAGCCAGTGTTGGGATTAATCAGTGAAATTTTCAAGCAACTTGTTATTTGACTAAAAAGTAATTTAAAATAAATAAATTAAAGTTAAATTACTCGCAATTAAAGTTTCAGTTGCATGTTGCAATTAAATGACTTGGATTAGTGTACTTCAATTGTTACAATTGAAATAATTTAAATTAACTTTTTGAATTGATCTACTAAAAAAAATAAAACTAACTTTTAATTTATCTATACAGAATCAATTAAAAGATTTGATAATTTTAATCTGCATTATATAAAAGATTTCAGTGTTCCTTATTGATAAAAATACGAACATTACACTTCATTATCTCCAGTATTTATATTTATGTTTTTTATCTATTGTTTTTGTTAAATTTATCATTATTTATATCGGTTTAGTACTTGTTGCTAACACGCGTATCTTGTTAGTTTAATTGTCGCGATACCCGCCCTCGCCCCAGATTCATACACGTTATTTTGTGATTAGGAACTTTTTTGATCCAGGATTCGATTTCAGCATCGAAAAATATACAGGAATATTATGAGTCTGTTGAACGGATCTCGACCTTCGTTTTTCAATTTTCGTATATGTAAGAGGTAAGTTGCTTTTAGAGGGGAAGCGATATCACCTTGTGAAGAATTTACTGACGTACTACCAAGTTTGTGAAACTAAACCTTAAGATGGTTCCAGCTCAGATTCAGAATTTGAAAATTATCACTGCTAACTGCAATTAAGTGCGCTACTGTGTTTAGAGCAGTTCAATATCGTTAATACCATGGAGTGCACGAGCTTGAAAAGCCTTGGTTTTATGAGCTTCCTTTTATGTCGTCGTTCTTCACCGGCTCATGATTAACCGACATTTAAGGAGGCACTTCTAGGATTTCCGAACAGCATGGTAGGTGCAATCAAACTGATTGTTACTCGATTTCTCTTGGATTATATTAGCACTTCAAATAATTCATCAATATTGTAGAAAATACAAGTTGCCTAATGATGTGCACACTCACTCCATTCAACAGCTTGTAGACATCTAGCGCATTTTGTTCCACGACAGACAAAATAAATTTAAACATAAGATCAACTTATCACTTCCGAAAGAACGTCCAATACATAAAAGAACACAGCTTGGACCAGTTTGATCATTTTTAAGCCGAATAGGCACAAGACACATCTAAAAGCCTTTTCAAGGCCCGTTGCTTGCTCATTGACGAATTAGGCCTACTCAGGAAAGAAAAGCGGTGCATCGCTCAGGGCAACTCAGTAGTGCTCAGCACTAATATCGTTTCACTACATCTTGTATTCATATGCATATTTTCTGGAGCAGTTCAGGAGATGACACTCAAACTATAAACCACTGGAAAATAGTTCTAAGGTCAAATCAAATTTAACGTTAGTTAAGCTGTTCCATTCATGTTGTAGCAAATGTAGATTATTTCAAAACTACAAATTTTACCTGAACATATAGTGGTAAGAAATACTCAATTATATGGTAATTTATTATCGATACCTACATAGATGAAGTGTTAACATAAATTTGGAAACTGCGTGAGTGCCATCTCAATTTTGACTAATTTTTTATCAATACCTTGATACTTCGTATGTCAAATTTCATGAAAACATTGTAATCGCAAAAAATTCTGTTCTTGAGATATTACTTTTTGATTTTATATGAAAAGTAAGCACCTACAGCACGTCAAGCCATAATACTCATGACCATCTGTCTGTCTTCCTGGCGTCTGATGATCCTTGTTGATCTCTCTGCTGATGCTTCGCCCCATATTACTAGAAACGTACAAGACAGATGTTGATGAAGTTTAAGAACAAAATCACTACCACGACAAGGACAAAAAATCGTGAGTCTTGAGAGTAGCGGCAGAATAGTAAGTGAGTTTATTAGTCTGTAACCTGGAAAGAGTCGCTTGGATGTTAATAAAATTTAGAAACAAGGTTACTATAACGGTGAGGACTGGAAAGCTTTATAGATTTAGAAAATTGTGACAGTGTTTTCGGGGGTAAGAGCAAAAAACAAAAAACTCCAGGCCGCAGCTAAACATTTTCTTTTTATGGATAAATAAGGTATACATACTCGTATATATATATATATATATATATATATACAGTGCTTTTCTTTAATGCCTTCCCCTCCTTTAATTTTTTTAACTGATCAATTTCAAAAAATTAAAACTTGAGGTAATGAAATTGATTCGTGGATAACATATTTTAGAGTAAAATTGACAGATGAAAATCTCAAAATAGCCGCTGCGTGCCGCCTTGGAAAAAAAATTATATGAATACGGAGCCTTGTGGCACATTCATTTTGAAGCTCCTGACGAGTATACTATAACCCTAGAATATGAAGTCAATACCTTTACCTACTACAAAATGGTGGTACATTTAATAAATACTGGAACACAAACCCACTAACATGCATATCTTTTCAAATAATTGTAATTCCCTGCCGTATCCACAGCAACAGCGATAAAACTTGTTTTGTTATTTTTTGTTGGCAGTGACAAGAATATCAGTACGAAAGCAAACATCATTGTTCAGTTGAAATATTCTGTTTGAACTATTTTTAAAATGGTCAATTCTCGTCCATTGGAAGAAAAAATCGAAGTTATTTTTATTTATGGTGCGACGCGTAACTTTCACGAGTCCGAAAGGATTTTTAATGACCGTTTCCCAAATCGTTCTATCTGTAGAAAATATTTAAGGGAACTTATATCTAAATTTACAGCTACTGGTAGTGAAAACAACAAAAAGCCCCCAGGTCATCCGACCATCCCGGAGGAAAAGCAAGTTCAAATAATGGGTAAGATCATAATAAATTCCCAACAGTCTACTTCCTTCATCGCGAATGTATGTGAGGTCTGTCCTTCTTCTGTATGGAGACTTTTGAAAAAGAATAAGTATCACCAATACAAAATTCAAATGGTACATCAGCTAACTAAAGATGACCCTGATCGAAGAACAGAATTCTGCGAGACTATGTCGGAAACCATTGCACGGCTCCTTCCTATATCCAAAATATCTGTTTTAGTGATGAATGTACATTTTTTCTCAACGGTAATGTGCATAGACAAAATTGTCGTTATTGGAGTGATACCAGTCCTCACGTCTTCCGTGAAACTCATACTCAATATCCACAAAAAATTGGGCTGGGATATTGGAAAATCATATTGTGGGGCCTCTATTCATCGAACAAACTTTAACCGGGGAACTGTATTTGGATATGCTTGAAAATACTATTGACCCTCTAATCACCGAAATCGTCAAAGCGAATCCCAATGAATTCGATACTAATGTTGTATTCCAGCAAGATGGTGCTCCACCACACTACTACAGACAAGTTAGGAATTATTTAGATAACAGTTTTCCCGGTTGTTGGATTGGTCGTCGAGGTCCTGTGGGATGGCCAGCTCGCTCGCCAGATTTGACACTTAGACTCGTTTTATGGGACTACTTCAAGCAAAAGGTGTACGAAACTGACCCTGCTTCAATATTGGATATACGGCTGAGAATAACAAATATTTGTAGAAATATCGATGTTGCTATCTTTGAAAATGTTCGACGCGAAATTACGGATCGGCTGTTATTGTGTCAAGAAGTTCAGGGCAGCCATTTCCAGCATCTTCTAAACTGAACTCAAGGTATTTATTCAAATTATCAAGTTAAATGCCAATGTATTAGATAATTAATAAATGTACCACCATTTCGTAGTAGGTAAAGGTATTGACTTTATATTATAGGGTTATAAAGAACTCGTCAGGAGCTTCAAATGATGTGCCACAAGACCCCCGTTTTCATATAATTTGCTTTCCAAGATGGCGTTCAGCGGCCATCTTGACATTTTCATCTATCAATTTTACTCTAAAATATGGTATCCACGCATCAATTTCATTACCTAAGGATTTAATTTTTTGGATTGATCCGTTCAAAAAATAAAAGTGGAGGGGGACATTAAAGAAAAGGACTGTATATATATATATATATATATATATTTTATATATATAGAGAGAGAAGGTTGAATAACCTATACTTTACAGTACTGGCAAGTGAGCGGAGCTGCGGGCTAAGGCTTGATAAAGGTAAACGTTCTTGAACAGAGAAGAAAACTGATAAAATTTTATGAGAATAAATCGCAACAAAGCTTGAAGATTCTTTTCTTCCGGAAATGCAGAACAGAGCGGGTTGATAACAAATTCATTCATGTGTTCTGCCCTTGAATCTGTTCAAGCTATCGACCGATCGAACCATATGAAAGCTGCGGTGACACTATCTATAAAATTACCTTGAAAATGTTACTTATAAATTTTTTAATGTAGTTACAAAGCAGGTCATTATATTATCGCAATTGTCCTCACGCGAATATATTTCTCCTTCTACAGTATATAAAAATAAAGAAGCTGTGCAGTAATCGATTTCAAATTCATTTTATTATTGATGATATGCTCTATCTACATATATAATGGCATTCATTCCCTATACTGATAATTTTAACATGTCTGAAGCCGTAGCCAGCATTAATAACATTTTGGTATTCTGCTAATTATAAGAAAAATAATAAGAACTTCAAACTACATGCAAATGCACATACACTGCGACAGTTTGATATCAGTCAAGAGGATGGACTAGCTTGGTACGTAGTTCGGCCTTTAAAGTCAACGTTTCTCCATAGGATTCTTGCTTGCATGACATAGATATAGTTTCTGCCATATACAAGTAATTTTGGTATAGAAATAGTTGGTATAGTAGATCTAATCCTATTTGAAACAGCGAAAAAGGAACTGAAAAAATTGTTATGTGCTATATAGAAAAGTAGAGAGAGCATAAGAACTGCTCAACATTGGACCAACTGCCTTGCTATAACAGAACATTACATTCTACGCCCTGCAAAATGCTTTCTGGAATCCTTTATCATCAACAATATTGCAGTATTTACGAGTACGGCCTGGAAATATAAGGGTGTTTATGAAGGGTAATAAACAAAAGAACAACTCATATTTTCTGTCCGGTACTCCACATTGCATCACCCTGCGTTTTATCGAGCTTTCAAACGATCTGGTGCTATAAACCACCTCCCTTGTTCCTTTTTGCCGTTTGTCAACGGTGGAAGGAAGTCATAAAACTATAGCGGGAGTCCTGTGTTGTAACATTGTTTCCAATCCGAGAGAGTATGCTTTTAAATCGTTATCGTGATAAGCATCTGTTGGATAAGCTCAAGAATTTAAATTGTACTTCGACGTTTAGATACCATACGAATTCTTGAAGCGCGTAGTCTCCAATATAGCTTTATCATTTTCCGCGCCAAAAGGAAATATCGATGTTTTTGTCTATTGTCTATCGAGTACATTCGTTAGCATAATATTGTAAACACATAGTTCGTTCATGAAATAAAATAAATATTCTAATATGCAATGCCAGTGACATTAATTTGAGCGCCGCATTGACGTCACAACTCATGGTTTGCCATTATATTTTATGGCTGCTTAATTTGCTGATATGATTTGTTGTCAGCTTTGAGAAATTTTTCTTTCGTCGTTTTTCCGATGTTGTCTTGACGGCGAAATTCTCCTGCTGGCGGCAACACGTCAAACCCATTGTAGTTAGTTAGCTCAGTCAGCCAGAACTCTTTGGAGCTGAGCAAACCGATAAATTGACATTCATTGATAGCGATAAAGGTTGCTGATTTGCCGTTATCCTGACGTTATGCCATTAGCGATATTTTGAACTTGCTATGAATTTTTACCGTTTTTAAGGACTCGTAATTTTATAGCGCATTTGTATAAAGTAAGTTTGAAAGTAGCCTTCTGAAGCAATTTGGACTGCAAATGAAAATAAATAACCAATGATTGAATGCCATGCATATTCCCTATTGTCAGATGTAATGTAATCAAGAATATTTGGAAAATGAGATATGTTTTTTGAACGTTACATAACATGATGTGACCAGACAATGGAGTCTTATTTACATGGCATGTATATCAAGAAAGCATATCACTCATTTCCGTCGTCTACGATACCAATGATGAGAAAGTCACACAACTTTTTTTTCTGGCCTTTCAGAAACACCTGCCAATTTTCAGAAAGTTCTTGGAGACGTTGCAAGATTGCTGCTGCGGTATCAGTGAAAGTCTTTCTATTATCGAAGAATTTCGATCCCGGTAATATTATTATGCATATGTTAGACGATCGTCGCATCTGTTTTCTGCTCAATTTCCAATGACTCAGAGGTTTGAATTATTTCCGTATTCACAAAAATTCACGCGAAAAGAATTTTTACAGAAGTGAACATACCTCAGTTTCCATTCCATTTGAGCCTTTTGAATATACTTAACCTACTCTTCCCTTTTTTGTTGCCTATTTGTGTACTTGACTTTTTCTTAGGCGGTTCATATGTCCCACTTTCGGTTTTAGCAGCTCTACTATAAAATATTACTTCCACGTTAATAAGAAAGAACATGGTAATCTTTAAAATCATGTTCTAAGCAGGTTGACTCAATTTTTCACGTGCAATCGTTTTTGTCGATCTGTTTCCAATTGAAGTTCATATGCCGTAAGGTTTGAAAATAAACCGAACATAATCTAATTATGACACAACCTCGTGAGAGTTACAGCGTCAATCTGTTTTTCTTAAAGACTTGAAGTAGTTTTCTAACCCGTTTCTTCAGACTTGTGCAGACACCAAGGGTGTGATTATCTGTTTGTCAAACATCAAGAACATATTTACAAATATAATAAATAACATAAATACATAGTACATACTTAGTGACATTTGCTACTCAGAATAAGTTGACAATCATCAATATTCTTCAAAGCAATATTTCTTCTGGTTTTCACATCTGCCTGTGTACAGTCCACAGCATATAAGTCTATTTTCAGTCTCAAAATGTTCTCTATCAATTTATAATACTCGACCCCTCTGTTTATGAAGGGAAAATTATTCACTTCGTCCTGCAGCTCTTTGGTTTTCATCTCTACTTTGTTTATGTTGATAAGTGCCCCCACGTTAACTGGATCACAGTATTCTAGCTCGTATACGCTTTGAGTTACACCTCCTTTTCTTCGTTGTTTATTGTTGCCCACTGCGGTGCCTGTGAGAAGTAGATAATACAGTGAACTTAAGATTCGAAATCTCTACCTCCAAATCTTTGCTAACAGTAATAATATAGCAAAGCAGACCACAGATATTATAGGCTCTACATTTGCTGAAGCTCCATTAATGCTTTGTGTAAATAGTAGCTCAATACCGATGCAAGTAAGAAAAAATTAAGTTGATGCTGAAACGTCATATTGAAGTTCTAATTATGCCATCTTTTATGGGAGAAAAAGTGGCAATGTTAACGTGCAATTTATTTTAACATCCCACTACAAATAAAGTCAGGAAAAATTAAAACGATTTTGGAAAAATTCCTTTTTCTACGTCTCTCTTCGGAAGTACTTTGAATTTAGAAACTTTCTAGGCGACATTTTGTTAGCTACCAAAATACACAACTTAGCCCTGATTTAAGCAACTTCGTATCTATTACCGTTACCGAGATCCCAAATTTGAAACACCCGGTATAAGTATCTATCTAACGAGATAATTCAAAATTTCCATAAAGCTGAACAATACCAAAAATCAGAGTAAAAATACCTAGATAAAAACAACAAATATAAGACTTTTTTGCCATTTCCCTGTGTCGTTCAATTTTAAACAAATTCTAAATTATCAAAATCAGGCGAGTCATCTAAATTGTTATACATTATTTAACATGTACATACGTACGTTCATTGTCATTGTTTTGATTTAACTGAAAACATGTACTGTCATTCAATGTATTTCTCAAGCTTTATCGCCGATGAGTGCTGAAATGTTGGCCTTTTGATAAGACACATCTATTAACACATTGCTGGCATAGTTTTAGGGGCATCCATTACTGTAGAACTTTAAACAACGTTCCTTCAGTAATTGCCGTAGAGCCATTTGTTGATTTGTGTGTTGCCGATCTTGTAACCGCTTAAACTGAGAAATAGCTGAAACAATTTTGATGCGGCTTGTAGAGGAATGCGCTCTGAGTGCAAGAAAAGAAGGTTCCAGGTCATTTCAAGCTTCGTTTAAGCTCGTTTCTCCAATTGTGACCATTGTTGGGCACAAAGAAGAAAATAATTTTAGAGATTTAGGAATCCCACATTTTCGTTTCATACATTCAGAACCTCTTATTATTGCTAGAGTCGTACACATTTTGAATCTTTTTCATTCATGTTATATTTTCTCAACTTGCTCTATCAAAGAATATTTGATGACATTTTCAGTATCGTATTTATAAATTTGCATGCGTCTATGCAGATTTTTCAGTATCAATTTCACTATATTCTTTTTAGTACTCGCAGTATTTAAAGTATGTTTAAAATATAGTCGAACGCGATACACTGGTCAAATGATGAAGTTTTGCTAATTAACAGCTTCTACAGAATATATTTCCATTGGACTGGAAAATGTTCTTCATGCAAACGTTACCAAGAGCCAGTCGGTAGTCGTATATTTTCAGTGAGACAGTTTCCATTTATATTAAAAATTTCCCAAAGGGCCGACTGTAGCTCGTAGGATGTAGCTTAATCAGCCGGTACCTTTATTCTTCGTGTTTCGCCTTTTCTAATCTTTCAGCTCTCAAGTAACGTATCACTAAGCTTTAGGGCCGTATCGTCAGTGGTTCCTACAATTTTAGGATGCCTTAATGGCTTCCTTGATTTCCATAGAGTTTTATCTCCTTCAGAAAGGCTAGAGAATTTCTAGATTCCTACTGTTCCATGTCAGCGTGAACGCCCTCCTATTGTGACACTATGTTTTCTTTGTGAATTGTAGCTAACTTCAGGCTGATATAACAGGTGACATATACCAAAAACATGAATAATTTGATGCAAATAGATATTTGTAATATAACCTCAAAATAGACCGCTGACACGGAACAGTAGGAAACTATGAAAATCAAGGAGGTCATAAAGGCGTCCTGCATTTGTAGGAACGACTGACGATACGGCCCTTAGGAACAGTTGAAAAATTTCACAATTCATGAATCCTACCTTGTTTGATACCTGCGTTGTCATCTGCAAGGTCTGCGGTATCACTAGTATCTTCAGCTATTTCTCCTAAGGTACGTTTATCTCTTAAAGAGCTAGTTGTCTTGAAATCATGAAGTGTTACAGCAGTGTCCACTGTATCTCTGCTAACCTCTCTTGAGAAACTTCTCTTCCTTGATCCTCTACTACTAACACTTGCACGGCGTGCCTCATCTTCCAGTGTCACTTTTTCTCTTATTGTATCCACCTCAGGAGGATACTCAGCATAACAACTTCCTGAAAGTGTGTTCCAGCTTCCAAAGTTCTCTACCCGCCATGCTGAGTTTTTTCTTTTAACCAGGCTCTCGCCTTGTTCTGCTGCTTCATCTGGGGAAGACGGAAGCTCTTCTGGATAGCAACACTTAGCTATGTAGCTAAATACTATAATACTTATGAAGACTGCTAGTAGAACTAGCAGCACTATTGCCAAAAAACCATCCATTATGAACGACGAAGTTTAAAACTAGATTTAATATCATTTTGCTGATAATTGATATCAGTATCGAGAAAGATTAGGCTTAACGTAGATGCACCTGAAGTGTTGACATTTCTCATTTTGTTGTTTGAATGTGATAAGCTGATATATTAGTATTACGAAATTATGTGACAACAAATTTTAATTATTTTTTCCGCAAAAGATAACGTTTTCTCAGAAATCCTCATATTCAGACGAGCCACTATTGAATCATCAGTTGTTAGATATAAAAGGATTTATTGATGTATCTACTTAAAATAGTGTTTAAAAACATTTATGGATATTTTATTTAATTTATTATTTATTATAGATATTATATTCTACAATTCAGTATAACCACATGAACTACATCCTATACACTCTTCCAGAATAGGTAGTCAAGTGCATATAAAATATAAAAAATGATGTCACAATTTCCTATACAAAAATGTACTACGTGGCTCACTTGACGAGGTACTATTCAGTGAAATTTTTGAAGCATTGTACCTGGTTCATGCCTTATATAATGAAGCCCGTAGAATCTAAGTAATACGCTCAGTTCAAAAACTATATTCTTGGAAAGCCTGATTTTTTAACTGGAAAAATGTACTCTTACTTGTTTGGAATCGAGGAAAAAACAATTTCTGGGAAAACTAGTCAGTTTTGTTAAGTATGATACTGGATCCAAAATAGTAGTTCCGCCATTTTGAAAATATAGGGATTTTAATGAAGGGTTCGTAACCACCAAAATCAGAAACCTCAGAAAGCAAGTATTCAGATTATTTATGTTTGTAAGTTTTTCTGGGCATTGGCTGCAGGGTGAATTGATATGTGCAGCAAAGAAACAAGAGTACTTTTCTCAAAAACGGCTCCTTTTATCGAAACCAGACAAGAATATCTTTTGTTAGCTGAAGTATTGAGCGTCCTAAAGATAATACTTTTAGCTATTGACATGAAGAATCCAAAATATAATTGCACTTCAATTAGGGACACTCCATCCCTAGTGATGCAATTGTGTTTAGTTGTTATTTAATATTTTATTCGAAAGCTGTTCAAATAGTAGCAGAAAACAAAGTTCCCACGCCACTCGCGAGTAAGTATTTCAGTCGCAAAAAAAATCTAAGCTGAGATATGGATTTTTTGATGTTTCATGAGATGTACATCACTAAAAGCCATATAGCTGATTTCCGGGAATCTGTTTGCCTATATGTCTGTCAGCTAATCCTTGCTAGAACTGCTATAACTTGAAAAGTGATGGTCTAACTTTGTTACGAAATTTTGCCACAAGATTGTGGGCACACCAAAGATGAAAAAGTTTTGTAGTATTTATGAATAACTCTAGTGGCGACGCATCTAAATGCAAAAAAAAAAATTAAATCGATTGAACTTTATTTTTTGACGTTTCAGAAGCTCCTGATCATTTTCAGAAAAACGTTTGTAGGCATTAATAATTAGGGGCTGGAGTTGATGTTTACCTATTTATGTCTTTAGTACAGGCAGCTACTACGGTTTTGGTGTGTAGCCCTAATTATCCTAAGTTTGCTTTTTGTCAACATCCAATGAGTTATAACCAAAAAGTACAGCATCTGAAACTTGTCTTTTTCATCTTCTACTGACAAAATGAAATCACAGATATAAAAACAAAAACTTGTGTATGCTAGTTATCTATATACGTATATCTAATGGTGTAACGAAGAAAGGAAGGTATACCGTTTTGTTCCATTTCAATTGTAAATTTGATTGTGGGTTCTTTACTTTTAATTTCATTCAAAAAATTGTTTGAATCATCCATAGTTAAGTACCTATTGCAAAAATATCGTGCGAACGTATCGCCACCCGAATAATGGACTTTATCAGTACCTGTGTAACGTATACCTTGAACAGGTATGAACATCGATTAACATATCCTCAACAGGATGATGCTTATTGAAAAGCATTAATGCTCAGGAGGTTCGTATTGTAGGTAAGTTTTTGTTTGATAGAGTAATTGAAAAAGAAAGTAGCGACCATATTTCTAGAGCGGTAAGTAAATCCAAAAGAGACAGTTGTTGTTCTGAATAGTTCAAAATATCCCAGTTTATACTTATACTAGCCTCATGGTGAGATTTCCAATTCATTCCATTTGTCCCATATCCTTACAGCTGTATATTTTAACTGATGTCTGCATTAAAAATAGGTATATTCATTTATTCCACTACATAATTATTCTCATGTTTTGTTTTATACTGATACAAATTAGTTTCAAAAATCAATCGTAAATTGATCATTCCTGCTATGTTAATGACTTGCTGTGGAAGTTTGGGAATTTCAGTTCGTACTAGACTCTGTGTAACCGAATGGTCCTCACCAAGAATCTATTACATTAAAATTTAAATCGAACTAGCTGTAACGGTTGAGAAACAATATATTGAATCTGTGTATTTATTTATCGGTATGTGATCGAAGCTTATATTGGAAACAGCGTAAACGGACCTCTGCTCCAATAGTCTAGCGACTGAGCATTGCTTTTTTAGAGGATATGCTGTCTTGTAGCCAAAATATATTGTAAAGTAGAATATTTTCTTTTTCTCAAAACTATTCATAAATAATAAGCTTGTTATAAAGTAATATAAATTATGTACTACTCAGGAGGTATACCCACACATCACCACCGTGCCTTTACGAGAATGCATAACGAAAGAAAATGTTCTAGTTGTTTCTGGTGATCGCGTATTATGAATTTTTATGAATAAAATGGTATGGATGTAATACGGAAGCGCCGTCATTATAAAATAATATCACTTTCGAACAAATCGCTCAGCTTCTGTCATTTGAGGTTCTGATATCTAACCTTTCACCTCATAAGTTCATTGATGAATGTTGATATATTTCTTACGTAATTTATTTGCCAGTTCACATTGAAACCCACTAACTACTAGTGCATATCGCCATCACGGATAATGTGCTCAAAATACTGGCTCATCAGGGCGTCGGAAGCATAAAGAGTTGTGTAGAGTTTAGGAATAAACTCGTATTTATGTTTGTATGTTTTTTGTCAACTAGTGGGTCGAAGTCGACTCGACTAGAAATAAACCAGTTATGAAGTAAATGGTGTTTGGTTCGCACCCCCAGTTATTACACTGGCGGCGAGGAAAAGTTAAATATTTTACGGACATAGTTGTGCGTGATTTTTTTTTTCGTTCGCAGTTGTACGCCAATTGAACAATAAAATGTCGATTGGACGGATGTCGGAATTTAAGTTAAGTGGGTCGAACTGGAATACCTACATTTCCAGATTTGAGCAGTACTTCATTGCTAATAAAATCGAAGAAGAATTGAAAGTAAATACACTGTTGGCTGTGGTCGGGGAAGAAATGTTCGAGCTGATGATCGATTTGTGTAACCCGGACAAACCGGAGGAAATTACTTACGAGGCATTGGTCAGATTAGTTAAAAATCATCTCCACCCAGACCGTCCAAAAGAGCAGAAAGATTCAAATTTAAGATTACGCAAGCAAGAGCGCGGCGAATCTTTAGCGCAATATTTAGCTGCACTTAAAAAACTAGCTAAAACATGCCAATTTGGAGACAGTTTGGACGACCACTTAACTGGATGGTAGCAGTTCACAAAGTTTCGGGCAGAGGGCAACGTAACCATGGGCCACGTTCCAGCTGTTGCTGCCATTGTGGGAAATCAAACCACGAAGATATCCGATGTTTCTTTCGGAAATCGAAATGTCACAGGTGCGGTATAGTGGGGCATGTCAGTGCCGTGTGCGCGGAAGTTCAACCATAGTTTCGGTAAACATAGAAATGAAAATGCAAAACAAGGAATCACGCACCATCTTGATACAGATGAAACATCTGATAGCGAAGTAAGTGAGGTAGCTGATTTAACTATCTCAAAAGATATTTTCAAAATTGGAAATAACCACGAGAAACCGCTAAAAATTCACTTAAATATCAATGATGTGGTTATGTATATGGAAATTGACACCGGATCAGCCTATTCTGTCATATCTGAGGCAGAATATTATAAAAACTTTTCATCTATGTCAATGATGGAAAGCGATCTTAAATTGAAATCTTATTCTGGGAATGTGCTAGAAATTTTAGGATTTATCAAGGTAAATGTAAGGATTGAACATAGTTCCAATCCTAAAAATTTGCAATTGTATGTATTGAAAGGTCACGGACCACCTTTAGTCGGTCGCGATTGGATTAAGAAGTTAAATATATCTCTAGACAATTTATTTCATATTGATTGTACGCATTTCTCAATGAGGGCATCAGAACTATTGAGAAATAAATTTCCGGAGGTGTTTCGAGATGACGTCGGTTGCTTTAATGGCGAGTGCGCTAAATTGTATTTAAAAGAAAATTCATTTCCCGTTTATTGCAATCCTAGATCGCTACCTATAGCTCTCAAAGCCAAAGTCGAAACAGAACTTAAAGATTTAACTAAGGCTGGTATTTTAACACCCATTGAATTTAGCGACTGGGCTACACCCATAGTGCCCGTTTTAAAAAAGGATGGTGATGTACGAATTTGTGGCGACTTTAAGGTCACCTTAAACCCCAAATTACACATTACGAAATACCCTTTACCAAGATTTACTAAATATTGTAAAAAACTGCTCTGTTTTTAGTAAGATTGATCTGTCACAGGCATATGATCAAATTCCTTTAGACGACGAATCAAAAAAACTGGTAACAAGAAACACACATAAAGGACTTTCTCAATATAATCGAGTCCAGGCATCTTCCAGAAAATGGTGGAGCAGCTTTTTAACAATTTAGAAGGTGTAGCTGTGCTTCTCGACGATATTCTAGTAGCTACTGAAAACGAAGAGAAACACCTTCAAATCTTGATAAAGGTTTTCGAGAAGTTATGTAAATACAATTTGACTGTTCATCTCGAGAAGTGCCATTTTGGAGTGCGAAAATTGGACTACTTGGGCTATACAGTCAACAAAGATGGTTTACATACCAATAAACAAAAAATAGAA